AATAAAAGAATTTCACTAGTCTTACACTTTATGGTAGGTAATCCATTACATGTCGATAATTGCATAGTAATACAGCTTTAAAGTGCAGCCTGATTTGAAAAGTCTAAAAGCTCGCATTTGTAATGGATTACTTCAAACAAGTTACAAATCTGCAAGGTTATTTTCACACAAGTGAAATGTAACTGGAATGTACTTATATACCGCCTTTCTGGTTTTTACAATAAATAACACATTCACCCATTCATACACATTCATACACTGATGGCACCGCCATCAAGAGCCATCTGAGGTTCAGTAACTTGCTCAAGGAGAAGGACACTTGGTTTGGGAACCGGAGGGTGGCCTGTTCAAGTCCAGCATGGACCCTTCATACAGTGTGTGGACTAGTAGCCGGTTACTGCCAAAGGTACCCTGAACCCCTAACTGCTTTGGGATCCTGACTGCATGGCTCACTCAATTATTTCTTCATATGAAATGAATGTGTGTAGGTCCTGTTTGTGCATGTGTGTCTAGTTTGGACCTATGTGTTATATAATAATAACAATATCATAGTGGATAAATTGAATTTCCCTAAGTATGTCTTGGCATTCCCAGGCGGCCCAACTACGCCCTACCCACTTTGCTTCCGAGATCAGACGAGACCGGGAGTGCTCAAGGAGGTATGGCTGAAATGAATGGAAACCAAACCTATTGTTGTCCGAAGGGTAGAAAAAAAACAGGAGATAAAACATCCCAAAACACTGGTCCTAGTATAAATCCCTACGGATGCAGATGCAAACACAAAGAGATATCTGCATTCCGTCAAAAACAGAGTCATTCAGGTGGATATCATTTATTATATTTTCCACCGACTGCTTCCCCTTCTTTTCAGCCAACAGGCACAAAGGCCCAGACACTCCCAGTGACTACCAGTAAGAGGGGCGGAGACCCTGATAAGGGATTTGGGAATTGGGGGAGGCTCCATTTACTGCAATGAGGTTTCTGACACAAGCCTCAATAGATGGGTCATATAAATCTGTGTATCATTATGTAAGAGAGGCTGGGCCGTTCACAACACAGCCCCCCCCAGCAGCACTATTCCCGTACTAGGTTTCTCATTCAATACCAAGGGATCCTCTCTGTTTACTCAACAATCTGAAATGATAGAGTGAAAAGCTTACAAGCGGTTTAGCAGTATTTCTATACATGCTGGGCCTTTTTACTACATAAATAACTAAATGGCAATATTGTGTAGGACGTGTATGTAGACAGTACAATCAACAGTTCAATCAAATGTGGATATACATTTATGTAAAATGTATTATTATTATTATTATTGAAATCAGTGGTTTGTTCCATCCTTAAAGCAACTGTAGCGGTATAACGACAAAAACAACTCCATTTAACAACTGAACACTAGTGATGGGCAAACTAAGCATTATTAAGTTCTTGGGCTTTTTTCCTGCCAAAAAAAGATCTGAAGCTTTAGGACAATGAACACCCATGAATGTATAATAAATAATGCTTTACGAGCTGTTTATTTATAAAATTCTTGTTCAGAATGGTGTAGTAAATTAACATATTATCAAGTAAATATCACAATAAAATAATTTAGAAATGTGTTGTCCAAAGAGCCTACATATCATACAGTCGGGGCTTATTGTGTGGTATAGGGCAGCGATTCCCAACCAGGGGAGTTGTACTGGTTTGTACAGATTTGAAATAAAAAATGTAGTAGATAAATTATTGAAATAGCTAAAATATATTGAAGAACAGTTGGAATATTAAAGCTGCAAGCAGCGTTGGGCGGGCCCTCACACTTGTAGCGCGTCCGGGTGTCAGCCGGCCGAGTTGCATATTCTGGAGCTCTGCCTGTGCAGCTGTGAATTTGCTACGCGGTTCCGACGCTGCATGAATGTGTTATATGTCACTTCCTGTGTCCCCTATGTGGAGCTACATAGCACTTGCCGCTATGAATATAAATCGGTATTGGTGTGTAGATGTCTTCGGGGTGGGAGAGTTATCAAGCACGTAAAAGTTTTGTTCAGATGTGAGCATGTACACTGAAGTTACAACAACTTCCTGTGTCATGGCGAAGAGTTGATCTTTGATGCCACTCCACAGACACGCCCATTGACGAAAACTCACAGATAGCACAACATTTCATCGTCAATGCCTTTAGAAGGCACAGCAGAAATTTAGAGTCGATCGGACTAAATGCCTAGGAGGAGTTCGTTAAAGTACGGAGTGTGTAAATCATCCAAAAATGGCCGTAAAATTCAAAATGGCCAACTTCCTGTTAAGTTTAGGATGTGGGTTCTTGAGGCTTTTGTGTGTGTCTGGACATGATACATGTCCCCAGAAAATTTCGTGCATGTAGATTGAACATGGACGAGGGGCTAATTTCTTCCAATTTTCTAGGTGGCGCTAGCGAGTCATTTTGCCATGCCCATGCGCGAAACCCATAAAATATGAAATTTTTCACCACTTCTGACATGTGTGCAAAATATGGTGAGTTTTCAAGTATGTTTAGGCCCCCAAGATTGAGCTTACTTTGCAGAAAAAAAAAAAAAAAAAAAATTCCTTATAGTTTCAATGGGGAACTTGCACGGTTAGTGCTCGGGCCCTAAATAAGCAATAAGTTCTGTGTGTGCAGCAAAGCAAATCTGGTGTTTGTACTCAGCCCTGGCTCTGTAAATTAAAAACAAACTCGTGGCTCGGACCAAGGCTCACAACACTATTCTAGCAGTTGAAGCCATGATTTGTGTGTCAGTAACGTTAAGTGACTTGCCACAGACATTCAGCTTACTTTCTAGACATGCTGTTGTTGTGATGTAGTGTCTCACCATTGTGCCTGAAAATCTGTGTGGACCAGCTGGCCCCCATCTTCAACAAATCACTGGAGCTGTGTGAAGTTCCCTCCTGCTTCAAACGCTCCACAGTCATCCCGGTCCCAAAAAAACCCTCCATCTATGACTACAGGCCCGTCGCCCAGACATCTGTAGTCATGAAGTCCTTTGAAAGACTGGTGTTGACCCACCTGAAGGACATTACAGGCCCTCTGCTGGACCCCCTGCAGTTTGCCTACAGGGCTAACAGGTCAGTGGATGATGCTGTCAACTTGGGTCTGCATCACATCCTGCAACACCTCGACTCTCCAGGGACATATGCTAGGATCCTGTTCGTGGACTTCAGCTCGGCGTTCAACACCATCATCCCGGACATCCTCAGCACCAAACTCACCCAGCTCACTGTGCCAGCCTCCACCTGTCAGTGGATCACAGACTTCCTGACTGACAGGAGACAGCAGGTGAGGTTGGGGAACATCACATCCAGCACCCGGACTATCAGCACCAGCGCCCCCCAGGGGTGTGTGCTCTCACAACTGCTCTTCTCCCTCTACACCAACGACTGCACCTCAGGGGACCCATCTGTCAAACTCCTGCAGTTTGCTGACGACAGAACGGTCATCGGCCTCATCCGGGATGGTGACGAGTCAGCCTACAGATGGGAGGTTGATCAGCTGGCTCTCTGGTGCGGTCAAAACAACCTGGAGCTTAACACGCTCAAAACTGTGGAGATGACCGTGGACTTCAGGAGGAGCCCCCCTACTCTGCCCCCCATCACCATACTCAACAGCCTTGTGTCTGCTGTGGAATCCTTCAGGTTTCTGGGTTCCACTATACCCCACACCAGTTGTTGCCCAACACTGACACGATCATCAAGAAGGCCCAACAGAGGATGTACTTCCTACATCAGCTCAGGAAGCTCAACCTGCCTAAGGAGCTATTGATCCAGTTCTACACAGCCATCATCCAGTCTGTCCTCTGCACCTCCATCACTGTCTGGTTTGGATCTGCCACCAAAAAGGACAGGAGCAGACTACAACGGACAGTCAGGACTGCAGAAAAAAAATTAATTGGTGCCAACCTGCCCTCCATTCAGGACTTACATTTCCAGAGTCAGGAAACGGGCAGGAAACATCACTGCAGATCCATCTCACCCTGGACACAACCTGTTCCAGCTCTTCCCCTCTGGTAGGCGCTACAGAGCACTGTACGCCAAAACCAACAGACTCAGGAACAGTTTCTTCCCACAAGCCATCACTCTGATGAACAGCTGATTTCTGACTCACAGTGTCAGGAACAATTCCTGTGCAATAACCCAGTAACTCTGTCTCTAATCAGCACCTGTTTACTGGTTTCCACTTATTATTTATTTATTCACCATTCGCTATTTCAGTGCTGTTCACACTATGTTCATACTATGTCATATTGTATATACTGTATACCAATACACCTACCTCAGGTCATAGGTCTTATTTATTTTTTTCCAGCATCCTTTGCACTATGCTCCATCACACTGTGTACATTTACATGTATGCATGTATGTGTATGTGTACCTGTATATCATATCCACCTAATTTACTCATCCTTTGCACTCTGATCACTGCAATATTTGTCAATATGTCTATATTGTTTTGTTCATAGTGTGTATATTAGTGTTGTCTATTCTGTAGTTTGTGTCTGATTTTATTTTATTATTATTGTGTTATGGTATTATTGTATAAGTAAGCACATCGTGAGCAATGAGTCAAATTCCTCATATGTGTACACTTACCTGGCAATAAAACTGACTCTGACATCATCGACAAAGTAGCCGTCGTCATTTCACACAAGCTCCATCACAACTTATTGAAACAGCCCATTTGCTGGAAAATGTGTATGGTTTTCATAATGTGTGATGGAATACCACAAAAGATATTTCCCTGAAATCCTGTGTTGCAGTAATTTCTGTGCTGTATATACAATGATTGGTTTTCTGCATGTCTAATGTGGACAACACCGTATCAAGACTCCGATTATTCAGACAGGAAGAAAACACCCTGCCATCTGGAATGGTTCAGCTCTACTTAACATTAGAAACAACACACAGCAGAGCTTTCCCTCCCATCATTAATCGCTGATGCCCATCAGCTGTCAGTTAGCAGCTGTATAAACCATTAGGCCAGTGCTACTCACCCTGTTAGGACCACCACAAAGTCCATTACATTCCAGCCATTGCGCAGGTAGGAGCCTTTGTGAAAGGCAAAGCCCAGGGCGATGATCTTGATGCCAGCCTCAAAACAAAATATCCCAATAAAGTAGGGCTCTGTGTCATCCTGTTATGAAAAAAAAAAAAAAAAAGAGTAGAGTAAGGAGGATTCATGAAATTACAGACTTCCATCTTAGATCCACTATATTTCAGCTTGACTTCTTTTAAGCCAACAAAATAAATAGAAAAGGGCGTCACTATTTTACCACCTGAATTAGGTCATGGGAGCACAGAGGTTTTAAATTGTATTTAGACCTTGGTGATGGTACATTTTATTTACAGAAAGTTAATCGGTTCAAAAAATATATTATAATAAAATAAAAAATATAATAAAATCTTAGTACTGACAAGACCTATACCTTATAAACGCTAGTTTGACCATGGCTTCTGTTGTTGTAAACTTCATGATAAATTTCCGGTGCTGGCCTTCCTTTTCATGCAGTGGTATTCTTTTAAACAATGTCTCTAAATCAATGGTTCTCAAAGTGGGGTCCAGGGTCCCCCAGGGGTCCTTGAGAGGGGTCCCCAGCAAAAAGGGGAATTATTTATTTCATTATAATAAGTAAGTAACACAATGATAGAATGTATGACTATTTTGTTCATGAGGTTTCATACAGTTTATGTAATAAAATATCTGAAAGCAAAATCTTATCAAATAGGGGTCAGTGATCTACTTTGTGTCAGTTTAGGGGTCCTTGATGTGAAAAAGTTTGAGAACCACTGCATGAACTGCATTATGAAATAATGCATAAACACATAGGACTGTTTATTGATACTTAAAGAGTTCATTTTATGCTCATTTTCAGGATCATAATTTTATTTAGGGGTTAAACCAGAATAGGTGTACATGGTTTAATTTTCAAAAAAAATCCATATTGTTGTCATACTGCACATTGCTGCAGCACCACTTTTCACCCTGTATGTTGAACGCGCCGTTGTAAAGCATCTCACTTCTGTTAGATCTTTGTTTGGAGTTGCGCATGTGCAGTACCTAGTTAAGGTACTAGCCAATCAGACGCAGAGTATGGCGGGTCCTAACAAACGGTAAACAAGGGGCGAGTTCAATCTCAAAACGTTTTGCGTTTTGTAGCATTTTCAGACTGAACGACATGTTTCCTGGAAACACTGTCACAGGTGTTACCCGGTTAGCTCTGACAAGTTTGTAAACACAGCGGTGTTAAAAAGGAAGTAAAAATCATCGCGCTTCACGATGTTATACAACGGTGTGTGTTCAAGGCACCGTCATTTCCATTGAAATAAACGTTTTGCTACATTTGGTCGGCGCTGAACTCAGCCCAGGGCTTCGGTTAAGCTGCACATGTTCCAGCCTCACCTACAAGCAAGAGTGGTTAAAGTTATTGATTTGTAATAAATTGATCATTCATGTGTAACACTGTGTAACCGTGAACTTTGCACATTGTAACCAGCACTTTGGTCAACTCTGGTTGTTTTTAAATGTGCTTTATAAATAAAACTTGACTTGACTGTCTCTACATCACAGTAACAACTTTATTTTCAATGACTGCCCAACGTTTGGTAGGGAGAGTGGGGGTGAGGGGAGGCAGCATGCGGATGTCTCGTCACTGTGTATGCTGCTGCTTAGTGTGTTTCTCCACCAGTGTTTTTGAGGGTGTGCCACACTAGCCACTAGGCAAGCATGTTACAAAGTAACAAAGACAGGTTGCAAAAGTAAAGGCTGGACTAAAATCTAGCTGTTTTCAGTCCAGGCCATCAGTAATATTCCTGGTTACCTTGTAAAATGAATCCCAAGATTTATTGGATTAAATTTACTTTTCTCAGCTGTACCTGACACAACAAGCTCCTAACAACCCAGCTCCTTGTCTTTTCTAACACAGTGCTGTTTTCAATCTGAATGTTTCATTCTGGTCTTGGTACTGAAACTCAGTTATCGTATTGAAGAATCCCCAACGTTACACCAGCCCTCGTTTTATCAGTTTATGTTTTTGGCTTTGAATATAGAATTGGAGTTAGAATTGATGTTGACATAATAGGCTTCAAATTCGACATCATCAGTGTCACAAGCAGATAGAGTACAGAGAGCACAGACTAGAGCCGAAACAATTCGTCAGTCAAAAGAAAATAAAAAAAAACTTTCTCCATAATCAATAACTATAATAGTTTTTCAAGCTAAAGGGCAAGACATTTGCTGGTTCCATTTTCTCCCATGTTAGGTTCTGTTCTGTTAGTTCACTTTTAGAGGTCATATTGCTTTTCTTTGTCATATATGACAGTAATCTAAATAGCTTTGGGGTTTGGACAAAAGAAGAAATTTGAACAATCACCCTGAGAAATTGCGATGGGCTTTTCCCCCCAAATTGACTAAGAGAAAATAATTGTTATTTGCAGCCCTAGCACACACAGAGCCACAGCTCCCTGACAAGAGTCAAGACAATCATTTGTTTTCAGAATATTTACTGGAGCTAGATAACAGCTGGGTAAAGAGAGAAAAGATGTATAGGAAATTTGATAATGCATCTTGATCTCTCTTGATGATACTGATCACTTCATATCATCATGAACTCTGTGGCATGTCTGTCAGACAGGGTTTTAGCCCATCTCAGGGAGCGGATCTATGAAAGTGAGAAGCTGGGGTGCTCCTGGCCTCGGGGAGTGACATTTCATTCTTAAAAACAGCCCCGCCCCTGCTGCTGCCAGATCTTTGATTGGACAGAAGGGTTCACAGCACTTCTTTAATCGAAAGATTTAACAAGAGAGCTTAAGTGGGAGGAGGGCGCAGCAGGGGAAACCTGGGGTAATGATCAAAGGCAGCGCTGCAGGGTTCTGCTGAACCTGCAGCGCTGAGGAGGACAGACTATTTGACACCGAAGGAAAAATGTAAACATTTGATATTTTTACTTAATTTTGGTTTTGACATTTTCAAATGTCACCTGAACTGAAAAAAAGAAGGATTGGATTAAGCAGAGCATAAGCCTATTACTTGATTGCACCAGCTGTTAATAACTAGACAACCATGTTTCTTTGAGCTGCTCTACAAACTGGAGCCAATTCTATAATTGTTGGATCTCTGTAAAATAATATTACAAAGAGTACAGTCTAGACCTGCTCTATGCTCTATGTGCAATTAGATAACTTGTGTCAGGAACTGGTGCTATACAAATACTGAATAGATTAGAATTAGGCCTATTTCACTTACAGAGACATCAACAATGAAAATACCAAAATGCCTTTGCATTCAATGTGGTAACAGAAACAACAGAGCAAATCATCACAGTGGTTGCAGTGTATTTTCACTGTGTGAAGAGCTGTACAGTAGGAAATGGAAAGCAGTCATGTGACTACTTACCAAACGCTCTGACATCGGTGTTTTGTCTAAGGCCGGTAGGTGTTGCTCCAAAGCCAGCACGATGCAGTTTGCTATAATGGTGGCCAGGATCAAGTACTCAAATGGAGTGAGAGTGTTAAAGAATTCTTGTGGAAAGCAAATGCACAGGTTGCTACACATGCAAACACAAACCACACCATTAAACCAATACATAAAAGCATAGGAAGCAAAGAAGAAGTAAAGAGTTGAGGATGGCAAACTCCATCCTCAACTCTTAAAATCGAGTACTGGGAACATACTTTCTGGACCTAAATTGTTCCTTGTTGTTTGGTTTTGTAGCTTTCTTAAAATATAAAAGACACATAACATGTTACATCCACAAATATTTAAAGCAGCTACAGTATATAGTAATTACTGTTTACTTTGTATACTGTAAACATTTCTGCAGTGTTGAGTAAGAGGAGAATTTCTGGCTATTTCAAGACATTATTCAGAGATTTGTAGCGACAGATTATTGGGTATCTTCCATCCCTGCAGTGCACTGCTGTTTTGTCATAAGCACTAATAATCCACCATTCCCTCAGGACTGTTCCAGCTTTGCCAGCAGGACAGTGTCCTCAGGAGAGGCAGGTGGCCAATGGACTCCAGTCACTGGGCCCCCCAGCTGCTTGGGGCCACAATAGCTCCTCCTGCAGCGTCGATTGCTCTGCATCAGCAGAAAGGGCTCAGTAATACACTAGCACTGGGGGTTACCAACCAGTGAGTTAAGTAATGGAGGCCATTACACGCACATAACACTCATTAACAAGTGAGGTGTTTTATCAATGAGTTTTCCCTCAGAAAGTATTCAAATCTGCAGCAGTGAGAAATTATTTTGTAGGTGGATCAATACACCAAACTCAACAGTTGCCATCCATGCTCACAAAATCATTCTGTGCAAACTAAATCAATTAAAACTGCAACAGCAGCTAATTTCAAACCTGCTTCCTGCTGCGTTTTATGGCTAAGGCTTGATTGTTTGGTGTCATGCATCCATGCAGACTGCCACCGCCTTGATGCTGAGGCCAGCCTGCTGTTTCTTGAGTTCAGCACCACGGACAGCACCACCAGCAGCCCTCACAATGAAATGTCAGTGAGGCAAATGTCTACTGTAAACCTGCCCAATGGTGTCGTCATGAATCAAATTTAAACCTTGCCTTTATGTGCACTATATCCTAACCTGATTCATTAATTCAGCATTAGGATAGAATACATGATGCCTGTTCTGACCAGAGGTTTCACTTCATCTTCCCACAATAGAGAGAAACAACAGAAATACTCCAGGATTAAGATCCCTAAAAATGCCTTGACAAGAAACTGTAATAGAAGATTTGGCATAAAAGAAATGTATGAACTTTAGTGAAAGCCAAGTCAAAACACCAAGCAACACGTTGTGCACTCCTCTTCCCAAAGGGCAGGGCTTTTTAGTAATTACAAATCATCAAGTTCTCTTTTTAAAATATGAGGAACTTTTAATAGAAATGTGGCCTTTTAAGGTCCCATTGCTTGTCAACAGTCCTAGCCGACATTCATCGAAGAAAATGGTTTAAGACCTTCTCTTTTTTAAGAACTGGCAGGACATTCGTTCTACAGAAAGCTCCTAATTGTGGCGCAAGCTGCCGCCCTTCCTTCCCCGATGTGAGGAAACAGCCTGAGAACCAACTGTGTAAGTTTTAAATGTTAATGATATAAACGCTTCTTTGCATATTGTATGTTTGCCGAATGAAAGGGTATTTAATCTCGTTCAGTTTTAGATAGTGTATCATATTCCAGATACATGCATCATCCGCTGCCAAGCAAGGAACCTTAAATGGACGTATTTTTCGGCGTTGGACTGGGCTGTAAGGATATGGCCATTCGGTGATCTTTTTGGCATATTTCCGTATGATGTTATCCTCGCTGAAGATGAACAGGGAGCGATTAACGGTAAGGCAGTTCTGTTTGACTGGAATGGGGTTGTAAAGAGCCATTGTCCTGGCTCTCTGAGCCATCGTCTGCTTGTACATTCTCTGGACCCCCGGAGGCCCCGGCTGCCGGCTGGCACCTCTGGCCGGGCCCGTGGAACAGCTGCCTCCACAGCGGCTGGTCGGTTCGTCTTCAAAGCGAGCCATTCCGGAATAACACAGATGTTGCAGGAGAAACCAAAACTGAGACAATAAAGGGAATGGAGGAGAAGCATCACAACACACACTGTCGTGTCGTCCCTCAGATCCTTTAAGTGCGTGTTACGTCCACGAACAGAAGAGTCAAACATTCACAACGAAACAAGGAAATGAAAGCTCTTTTTCATCAACATTAGTCAGTTACCTACTCCTCTCTGCTGTTGCCCATGCAGTCACTCGCCCCGACATAAAATTGTTGCTCAAAGTTTAGATAAACAGATTACATGATGCATCATTTTTGTCCATTCTTTGGCTGCCTGCCCCGGTCATCAGAAGTAGCTCTGAAATATACTGGCGTCAACGCTTCAAGTCCACGCTACAGGATGCGCCATCTACCAAATCCCCTTTAAAAACTGTTCAACACAAAAGACTACAGCATAGGAAATACCGCGAACCGTCAGCGTGAGCAGTCAAGACATTTTCCTTGCGTCCACAAAGCGTCCACAAACATTTCTGTTCCGCTGAAGACTCGTTTCCATTGCGAGCTAACGCTGAATTGTTTTCTTTGACCCACCTCGCCCCTCGGTCTGGGTAAGGAAAGCACTGTTATAAATCGCTAATGGAGGAGAAATCACAGCAGGCTGTTTCATAAACTCGCCCTTACTGTGAATGTAGAGACGCCACTTTCTTCACTGTTCCTTACCCAGAGACACCCACGTGACCGCGAAGACGCCAGCCAGTGGCTCCACCTGGACCGGCCCTGTTTCCATAGCAACAGGGAGGCGAGAGAGCCACACCGGGGTCAAGTTATACGAAATACAGAGAGATTTCCGTACTTCCGTACTACTTTCAAAGTAAAAGCGTGGTTATGAACAGACGCAATAGTGTTTCACTATAGCCCAAGTCAGCGTACTGCTAACAAATTTATTTAAACAATAAAATACACAAATAAAAAAGGAACTGCTGTTCAATTAAACGTATGTGTATCGGGTAGGTACCCAGCGTATACCAATCACTGGGTAGGATACAATTTCCGGCAAAATTTGTAAAAGTAAAACAAGCAAACATCTTCAGCAACAATTCTTGTAGGAACATAAGTTTAAACATGATACCACAGACTACAAAGAAATGTTCAAAGAATTTAAAAAAAAAGAATTTTGGATGAAATAAGCCAATTTATACTTCTGACTGTGAGATTTATTTATTTGCACAGCTTAAAATCTAATTCAACAAATGACATGGAGGCCTAAATAACAATGGAAATGAACGTGTAGGACAGAAAAATATAGAAAAGGCTTACTAATAACCTTTCCCTAAATAATTTGAAACAGCATTTCCAATGTTAAAAAATAACAAGTATAAAACTAAGATTTAGGTATTTTTTAAATGCACTGTAAGACTGCAGAAGATGTAATTTTAACAAAATGGCAAATTAAAATTGCAGTTCCATAAATTCAGAGTTCTGTATTGCTTGGGAAGATGAAGATTACATGACAATCTGGTTTAAGTTGATGTTAATTCATCTGAAAATAAGACATTAAAAGATGTGGAAGGTATCCCCTACCCAAACTATATCTTGTATATGAAAGTATATAGATTGTGCCCTGTGAAGAATTCCCATAAGATTAAAGCCAGTTAAAAATGTGCTTTCTTATCCTTCTTTTGCCTTTCATAAACTAATCACTATAATGTCCAGACAGAACATAAGGACCTGCATTTCTGTTTGCCAACCTAACATTCTAACAGTAACCTTGCTGAGTAATCTGCTGTTTTTTCACAGTGAGGTCCAGGCAGACTTCAGGATCCTTCAGGGGATTCCAGCAGTTCTCAGTAAAATGATTAATAGTTTAATTTCACCAATTTATTTCATTAGAAATGATTCTCAATGGAGAAGGTATAAGATCAATGACTATAATTTCACATTTGACTCTCATCTCTATTATTACCACTTACATTCAATCAATAATTCCACACACATTAACATTTTTTATAAATGCCAGTATGTTTGTTTGTGAAATTATCTCTATTTAACAATTCAGACTACACTATATGGACAAAAGTATATGGATTGTATATTGGGCACTGTGCCCAATATACAATCCATATACTTTTGGAGTGCTTCTAATGAAAGGAAATGATAATGCCCCACCATAGCATGATATTTCACAGTTTGCTTCCAACTTTGTGTCAGCAGTTTGTCCCTTTCCTGCTTCCACATGACAATTCCCCCATGCACAAAGCTAGTGGAAGAAGCTAGTGTTCAACCTCACTGCTGCAATTGTGTCTGAACGGGAATAAAGAAAGAAGCTGGGTCTCGACTTTCTCTGGTCAACTAAAATTTACCATAAAAAACAAACAGAACTGATGCTTTAAAAATGTGTTTAATTGCTAAATCGATATGCAGTAAAAAGCATGATTACAGAAGAGATCGGACTTCCAAACAAACATTACTTCACTTCATTAATCCACAAATATTACACTTTGTAGTATTAAAAGAGTCCATTAATGTAAAATCACATGTTAAGATGTTTTAACCAGACCGCTGGCTCTTTAAAACTTGTTAAACCCACTCTTATGTACAGTATTTCAAACTGGTGGCAAGCTGCAGTGTTCTGTTTATAGAAAACCTTATTTACCTTACCGTATTAGGTGTATAAATAAGTTAGATCCTGTGCTCTGAGATGACAAATTTTAACAATGTTTATCTTTCATTTGCTGGTTTAAAATTGGGAATTCAAGTGAAATCCTTTTTATATCCATTTTCAAAGCATCACTCTTAGATGGTGTCTGGTTCAGAAGGCAGTGTTTCTGACATTAGAGATGTCACAGCAGAAGACTGTGTCCAGGCAGGAAGAGGGATCAGTGGTCATCAGTGAGTTTCTATCTGCTAGCAGCTGAGTGGAGACACTTGAGGGAACCACACTGGCAGGTGAAGTACTTGCTCTTCACCCTCCAGTAGTGATCACCATAGTCAAACCTGGTGAGGAAAAGACACCAGTCCAGCATCATCTTTGCTTTAACATTTTATTTTAAAGTTCTCTTCTGAAAAGGAAAAGGAAGACCGAAGAAATGGCTGAGATAGTTTTTCCACCACTCACCCTATCTGCTCTCCAGCTTTGATGGGCCTGCTGGAGAAGAAGGATATCCTGGGGAAACGTAGATCCTGGTGCATGGTGAACACCTTCACAGCCAGCAGGTTGGGCTCACACAGATGGTTGATGAAGCGGCTGACGTTGCCAAAGAGTCTCGCATCAATACAGTGTACGTCTCCCACCTAAACAAGATGATGACCAAAAACAGACAGTCACATGTTCTTTGTGTACAAGGTTTTTACAAGGCTTTTTTTACAAGGTGGTTTTATAACCACCCTTTAATCTTTTATAACCACCCTTTAATCTTGGAGGCTGGAAGCTTTAAAAAAAAAAAAAACATTTTTGTTAGTTAGACAGGGTAATATACACACAGCACATACAGTTTTGGTTTTAGTGAAATTTGAGTAACAGCAGAGTTACTACTACTCTGGATAGACTCAAATCTATTATATTTGACTCTCAGTTGATAAGTAGTTTGTGTCAAAACCGATTGTTACTCAATCAAACCTGTAAGTGTAATTGTATAATTATCACCTTCTGAACTTCTTACTCAGAAGTAAGATCTTGGCTGTTACACTTGAAGTATTCCCCGCCCCCACTACGTAGGCCTGCACACACCGGTTGACATCCTCCACCCTCCATTCAGGACTTATACATTTCCAGAGTCAGGAAACGGGCAGGAAACATCACTGCAGATCCATCTCACCCTGTACACAATCTGTTCCAGCTCTTCCCCTCTGGTAGGAGCTACAGAGCACTGTACGCCAAAACCAACAGACTCAGGAACAGTTTCTTCCCACAAGCCATCCCTCTGATGAACAGCTGATTTCTGACTCACAGGGTCAGGAACA